CCGATCGCGTTTAAAAATAAAATAAATATGAACTGTTTATTGTGATTTAATCTCGATCGTCCGATCACGTTTAAAGAGGAAACGAATCTGAACCGTTCATCGCATTTAATCGCGACTGTCCAATCGTGCTTGAGGAGATAACCAATTTGGACCGTCCACGTGCGCGAGAATGTTTCTGGGCCGTCCGATCGCGAGCACATGGATTGCCAATGTGGCCTCCCGCATGGCATCGAGTCAGCGTGCCTTGCCACGCGACGCACTCCGGTTCGTCGGTGGTGCTGATTGGACAGTCCTACATAGCACAATTTTTTTTAATTGTGTTTTGACCCCTAGTTTTCGATTTTTCTTTCAAAAACACCATTTGGACATAAATTTTCACCAATTTTTTTCAAAATTATTTTCAATTTCATTGTCAACCTATTTTTTTTTCCTAATTTCACATTAAATAAAAATATATTAATTTTAAAATTATATTTTTATATATTTTTTTAAAATTTAAAATTAATCCCAGATCAAATTCTAAACTTGGATATTATACCTTATCCCTTCTCCCATCATATAAATACCAAACAAAATATTTTCTCTCTCTTTTAAATCTACCAAATAAAAGAATAAAAAAAGAAGAAAAGAAGAGTAGGGAGGAGAGGGAGAAGAGAGGCAGGATGAAGAGAGAGAGAGAGTATTGGGACGTTTGATGGGGTGGAAGGAAGAAAAAGGTTGAGTGGGGACATTGCAAGTGGCCTAACCACCATGAGACCGCCCCCTCTCACGTATGTTCTTTTTTCGAACATCCAAACGTGAGTTATTTTCTTCTTCTTTTGTGATTCTGTTCCTAAATAATTTAGAATAACATGTATAATGTTTAAAATAAATACATTTTAAGTTTGACTGATTTTAAATAAAAAACTTGAACTTAAATAGAGAGACGATGAGAGTAGTTTGATGTAGTGGAGGGTGATAAAAATTAAGTTATACTTATATATGTATATAGAGTTATCTAGGATGTATGTGGTATATATTTATGTATATGAGATATACATATATAAACTATAATGAATATGTGAAATATATTTATTTCCATGAATTTTGATGTAAATGTATGAAGGGAAACAAATATATATATATATGTATATATATAGGTATATTGTGTACGTATATTTTTAACGTGTGCATACATAAATATATATATGTATATATATACATATAACTATGTATAAATAAATGCATGTATTGGTATATATGATTAAAATAATATTTTGTATGCGTGTATAATCCTTATGTTTTAATAAGTATTTATATATGTAATAATGTATAGTTATTTATATATGCAATAATAAAAACAATAATATTTAGATGACAAATATTAATTTTTATAACTATAGTCATAAATTTATAATATGGTGTAAGTTAAGAGTAGAAAAATATGATAAATAAATAAATTTAGAAAAAAAATGTTTGTGTACTATAAATATATATATATAACTACGCATGGTGTATTTGTGTTTAATATAATAATATGTATAGGTATAGTTTATATATATAGAAATGAGTTTTAATAAAGATATGTATGATTACCACAATATATATAAACATATGTTATAAAAATAAATGGTAATGGAGGGAGATTTTACATATATATATATATAAGTAATGTTATAAGTTTTATAATTATAATTACATAGTTGTATCTTATAATATAAATAAATAATAATAACAATAAGAGATGTATATATATATAAATATGTACATAATAAATGAGTGTATGTTGTGTGTATATAAATATATAAGCATATGTATGGGTGTGTATATATATATATATATTTGGGAGAAGAATAAATAAATTAAAATTCAATTAAGAATTAGATAAATTATGATAGTTAGGAGAGTTGAATTTAATTAAATACAAATTTTAAGGAGAATTGAATTTAATTGAATAAAGAATTCATAAGAATTAAATTTGATTGGATAAGTAATTGATAAATAAATTAATTTAGCCATAATCTATAATACTTAAGTAAAGGTAATTTAAAATACTAAAAGAAATAAATTTTGGAAATCATTTGATTTAATAAATATGTAAACAAATTAATAAATTTTGTTTTGAATATAATAGATTATATAAGAAAATAAATTAAGAAAATAGAAAAAGAATATTTGTAATGATTTTTTTTAGAATGGAATAAATAATAGATAAAATAAATTAAAAAGAAATTATTAATTAATTAAAGCAAGATTAATATAAAATGATAAGAAAATATTATTTACTAAATTATGTAATGAATCAAACAGACAAATAAAGAAAAGTTAAATTGAATGATTGCTTTAGTAACTAGAATAGTTGTAGAAACGAGATAGACATGCAATATGATTGCATGAAACTCTTGGGTTCATTGTTGACCTGAAAAGACTTAGTTGTTGTGTAAGTTTTTGTTAATATTCGAATGGTGTTTGGAACTCAAATAAGAATCCTTTAGTCCGAAGTCTGTATGTATATTTAATAGTTATCCTGAAACCACATTTATATGTTTTCAAAAATATTTTCAAAAAAAAAAAAAAATAATTAAGTCTTGAGTAAGGTTTACAAAATTAAGGAATCATGATTTGATAATCAAGTAAGTGAAAGAAATTGGAAAATGGTGATACTGAATGTTTTAATTTGTCATTTATTTGTTGCTTGATTGTTAAATGAAGATTACATATTTACATATTTTAAATACTGTATGATGGTTGATGGTATGATGAGTTGAATAGTCTTAGTAGAATATTAATGATAGTGCATATTCTCCAATAAGATTATAAACATATAAAATAACTCTCACAAAGAAAATAAGATCAACAAAAAAAATACACATTCTTAAATAAAATTAAGAATTATAAATAAAACTAATAAAATTTAAAACTAAAAATAATACAAGCATTAAAATATAAATAATAAATAAAATGATAAGTAAATAAATTATAATAAATAAGAAAATGTAGGATTAATGAGAGTTAGTGAGTTCTATAAGGATAGAAAAGAGACAAACTGTGAGATTTAAAATAGTGTGAGATATAGAGTAAAGTTAACTAAGAAAGTATACAAAGTTTTTAGGGAATATAATTAGTCTATTAGGAAAAATAAAAATATCAATCTTAACTAGAATAGGAGGAAAAAAAATAAAAATAAAAACTTGGAAGAAACAAAAATTTAGAGTTAATTCGTTTAAGATTGGTATGACTGAAATTCAGTGGTGTGGTGAACCCTATCATTGGGTGGATGGAAACTCTTCCAGACGTTGTTAGGGTGTGTGTTATGTTCTGGGTCACCTGGCGACATACTGCTGTGACTATTGTGTGTATTTTGACTGTGTGTGCATCCCCTTGTAATAGTGGGAATCTTGATCCCACAATGGTACAAATTGAATAACGGATTCATTCGTTCAATCTTAAATTTTTTTTAAAACTTAAATAACTTTAAATTGATGATTATATTGGGGTAAATCGAGAATTGGGGATACTCACTGAGGGATTACGGATGTCTTGATTTGATCAAAAATTTGTAAGAAATTCTGATATGTAGATTTGTGGGATAAATATGGATTAGAGAGAAATTGATGAATGAGTATGGTTTTAGAACTAGATGTGATGTGATAATAGTAAACGATATGAGTGGTTACAATTAGGAAATTAAGAAAGGAAAAAAATTAGGAGGATAATGAGAAAATAATGAGAAAGAGGAATTTTGAAATATAACCAATAAAGGAGAATAATGAGGGGAAAAGAGTAAATACAAGAAACTTAGGAGAAATAATGAAAGATGAGATAAGAAATAGAATATCTCTGCATTTCATGATTTTCAAACATAAAGGAAAAGAAATGTTTTACATTTTTGATTGACTGTATGTTGGCATGTCGCATACCTAGGGTAGTCTATTCGATATATTTACTGATCTTGTTGTTTTGCTCATTCCATTCAAATTGTAATCATTTTTTATATCAGGCCGAGGAAAATAATTTAGAGAGCCAAATTAGGAATTTCATGTTTTGGTTTTCATAAGGTAAATTTTAGTTTAGTTGTGGACTTTACAGAATTTTGTAATCTCATAATATAAATTATGTTACATGTTGTATAAATAATGAATAACTTTTACTATATTTTAGTTTAAATTTATATTATATTTTCTGGTTAAGTTGTGTTTGGCAGCATGATTTTTCTTTAGAGAACTGCGGGCCGTCACAAATAATACATATAGTGAGAAAATAAAAAATCTAGATATTATTTTTATTAAATAGAACTCTAATTTCTTAGTTCTTAAAATTTGTATGATTTTAAAATTATTGGCATAGAACATATATGGTCTTGTTTAGGTTATAACACAATATTCTTATTAATAGTTATGTGATGAGTCTTATTAATCACTTGTGAAACTCATACAAAGCCAACTATTTGAAGCACTAATTGAAAAATGAGTTCATGAAGTTGGTCCTCATATATCTCTTGCATCAAAAGTCACTAAAAAGATTTCTAGTATAATAGTAGTTTAGATTAAGTATTAAAGTTGGGTTGATCGCAATAATATTCTAAGTATTTCATCATATTTTGATACTGTTAATATATGAGTTTTCATATCATATATAAAAATGACTATCTTATATAAGAATTATTCATGGACTGAAAATATTTATTTAAAAATTTTTGGTTTAAGAGGAATTGATATCAATTATGTTTAGCTATATACATTGTTAGTATAACTTATGAATTTTGAGTTGTTAAATAGATTGTAATTTATTGAAAATTAGAAATAAATTCATAAAACCACACATAACAAACTTATTTATAAATAGTTGGAGGGCAAAATAGTCTTTTTACTTTAATTAATTTAATATTAGATTAATTGATTTAAATGCAGTGTCTAATAAACAAACAAAATAAAACCTTTACCCTGCTGGAGTCTGGTTAAATTTGGGCTGACCAGATACAGTAATGGGCTAGCCCAGTTTAATATAAAGGCCTTGATCCATTCTGCGTTGACCCGACCGGCACTGCTTGGCTACCTGGCTTCATCTGCTTCGCTGCCCGACTCTTTTGCCTCCTTTCATCTGGTTCCTGTTCGAACACAGAAGCAGATTGCTGAACGAAAAAGATTTACCAGCGTTAGAAAGCAACCAAAAAATATATAAACTATCATAAACTAATTGTCTTTCCTTTGTAAGTATATATGTTTTATATACTATGTGCAAAAAACTAGGTAGCGCGCGCGATTGATCATGAGTTCATGGAGGCAGCTACAGAGGCTGGCGGACGGCCTCTCGCTGATCGCCAAGGAGATAGTGAAGCGCTCCCAGGCTATTGAGAGTGCCCGAAACGGCGATCCCGAAACCCTACTTGCTTCCTCCCTCAAGAGAGCCGTTGTTTTGGCCACCGATATTTCGGGCCTCACCAGCGGCAAGGTTCGCCAATATTCCAAACTTAGGCCAAAAGAATCCTCTGTTGTGTACTTCAATAATGACATTAGCAATAGCAGTAACAACGATTCCTCTGTGGTGACGGATTCCCGATCTTCTCGGGAAGAACCGGGTAGTAATTTTGAAAGTAACTTTGGTACAGAGCGTAATCAAGAGTCAGTTGTTGATTCTCAAGTTTTGAGTAATAATCTTGGTGATAAGGATCTTAGTTTAGAGAGAGAATGTGAGGTTAAGAATTTGGGTGATAAAGATAATATTGACGAAGGCGGAGAGGCGCTGGCTCCAGCGCCGATTCCAATTCCAGTGAAGAGGCGAAAGCCGAGGGAGAGAAAAGTCCCGTCAACTCCATTTTCCAGAGCGATTGGGTGAGGCCTTTTTTTTGTATCGAGTTTCAAAAAGCTTATTCTGCAATTTCTTTTGTTGTGTTTCTATTCCAGGTGTTTTTGCCTCTTTGATTGCGATTGATGAATACAGCTACTTAAATATTCGATAATTGCGATAAACGTTTTATGCAGTATGTTATGCTTTAATTAACAGTCTCACTACGTCAATAGCAGTGGTTGATTGGATAAATAGCTATGTTCTCTGTAGGATATGTGCTGCAGGTGGTGGAATTGATCATGATGTTGGTTATGCTTTTCAAACTCTTTCCACACTTCTCTTTAAATAGTTGATACCTGCTTATTTGTATTTTAATCTTGATTAGTAAAACTTTGCACATGGAGAGGAATTTGAAATTGAGAGGATGTTGGCTTCTGACATTGCAATGACAATTGCTAACTATTGGGGCTCTAATGCTGGGTCATGATCTCTATGGGTAGGATGATTTTGGGAAGATTATTGATGTGCTAATTGAACTGTAAATATTTTTGTACATGGCTTGGTGACATATACATAATATGCACATTTTTTTTATCTAAAAAAAAATTGCTAACTATGATGCTTACTTGCTGCTGAGCTTAATTTAGCTTGTCAGAAAGAAGAAATCTGCTTTCAGCTATTCTGAGCAAACTCTATCCATTCTATATGTTAGTTATACTCAGATGAGAGAGAGCCTTGTAAATGTTTATTCCAATTGCGAGCTTATGCATTCTATGTTCTTTCTTTTTCCCTTTTCTCCCAATCTTCTTTCCAATTTTCTCAAATAACTTTTTATGTAATGAAATAACGGATTTAAATGATATTTATCTTTTTGAGATTATAGAGCCAATAGTTCATTGGATCGTGTTGTCATTCTTTAAATATATTATCTTTATTTAATATTTTCAAAACACTAGGAATCTTTTCCCTATTGTTATTTGGTAAGCACTACTATCTCTTTCACCAGCATCCACACCCCGGAGATACTTAGTTACATTATCAGTTACTGAAGATGAAAGGTTTCAGATTTGCTGGTTCATGCAGTTCAAGCAGTTGATTAATGACTCTCCTGAATAACATTAATCTAGTGATTGCCTATTCCATTATTTCTTTTAGGAAACTAGTAACACCATCTTTAAGTTGTAGACAAATAGTTGCTTCAATTTCTAACTATTTCTTTTTCCTTTTTTTTTTAATAACTTCAAAAGGTTTGCTGGTCTAGGAGCTGGTCTTGCTTGGGGAACAATTCAGGAATCTGCCAAGCGGCTTGTCTATGGTACACCAAACTCTCAAGAGAAGCAATCTGCTCTTTCTCCATTCTTATCTGAAAAAAATGCTGAACGGTTGGCCCTCGCTTTATGTAGAATGCGGGGGGCAGCACTCAAATTAGGACAGATGCTGAGCATACAGGATGAATCTCTGGTTCCTGCTCCGGTATAACTATCTCTTTTTCATGTTATATTGAATGTAGTAACATTCACATTTTTCAGAATTAAAGCTTTTCTTTACTGTGAAAGAGGTGTCAGTGATAAAAACTTCACCTTGTAATATTTATCTCCAAGTCACAATGATTAAAAGCTGAAATTGGTGTTCCAACAAGCACTATTTTAACTTTCTTACATTTTTCATGAAAGAATGAAACAGAGGTCAAAGTTGAACCAAAATTGAATGGCTAGGATGCTTTTATGTGCTAGCAGATGTTTTGTTCAGGAGAGTTGGTGTTGGCAAGCTGATGTATTTAGCTCTTAGTACAGAAGCATAATAATGGTGCTAGAGCCTAGTGTCCAGTATAGGGTTTGAAAGAAAGGAAAATATTTAGAGAGAGAAAAAAGGAAGTACAACATATAGTGTTTCAGAGAATCTCTACAGACGCAGGCTGAGCATCTCTGTACAGCCAATGTCTTTTCTCCTTCTTGCTTGCACCCCATGGTGAGTGGTGAGGAGGCCATGGTGCTTTCAGAGACCAGAAAATTTCTAGCCATGGAAAGCAAAACTTTTGATATCGTTTTTGCATGAAAGAAAGTGGAAGACATTCAAGTGAGTGAAAATAGGAGGGGTTTTAAGTCGACCATCACTTTCTGGGAGGATGAAGTCGAGTAGCTGTTGGGTGCCTTGCAGAAGTTTTAATGGACAAGAGGAGGGGAATTCTGAGGGCATAATATGGGAGATAAAAACATAATTTCTGGGTGGCTATGGGGGGAACAGCAGGGGTAAATTTTTGCTAATTACAGGGAAAAAAGGGGAGGCATCGAGGTGCATCTTTGTCCTAGAGGGTCCATAGGCCAGAGGTTGGTGGAGAATGATGCCGATGCTGATGTAGAGGGCGATTTCAATATGGTTTTGCGTAGGTAGGGTAAGAGGAATATTTCTCCCGGACTTGTGATGATGAGTTTTGGGAGACTTTAGATGGATTATAATTACTGGATTTGCCTTTCATTGGAAGTAAATGGACATGGTCCAATTACATATCAAATTGACTTGCTTCAGAATTGACCGCTTTTTTGTGTCAGTATCATGTGAATATTAGATATCAAGACTCCGTCAAAAACTTTTGCAAGATACAACTTTGATCATTTCCCCATTTGCTTAGACTTTGATGGGATAAAATTGGGCTCCTATTCTTTCAGGTTTGAGAATAAATGTTTAAAAGTCAATGAGTTCCTTGACAAAATCTGATAATTGTGGAGATGAGTGAGGGTGGAAAGAAATGCTAGTTATATAGTGACTAGGAATTTGAGGATGGTTAAGACTCAAATCAAGAAGTGGTGTCAGGAGGACTGGGGGGGGGGGGGAGGGGGGGACGGCCTGGGGGAGTTAATCTCTATTATAGGACCTAGAGGATTTGGACTATTTGGAGAGGATGAGGGGGTGGTTTGTCTCCTGAAGATTTGGCTCACAGGGAATCTAAAAGACTTGAGTTAGCAAACAGAATGTAAATGGAAGAGATCTCCTGCAGACAAAAATTAAGAGCTAAATGAATAAATAAGGAAATAGGAATACAAAATTTTTCCATTGTATGGCAAATCACCAGAGAAGAATAAACTATATGGAGGAGTTAGAAATTGATGGTCGTTTAGTGAAACAGAATGAGGAATTGAGGGAAGGGGTCAAAGATTTCTTCAGCATGTTATACTCTAAGGATTTCAATTGGAGGTTTAAGTTGGATGACCTAGGATTTTATGTCTCTGGATGATTAAAGCTGTGAATCTCTCGAGAAGAGGTTCTCTAATGAGGAGATATTGAAGAGCCTCGTGCAATATAAAAAGGATAAAACTCCTGCGCCTGATGGTTTTAATATAGGTTTTTTTTAAAAAATTTTGACATGTGATTGGAGATGATACAATCGTGCTATTTAATGAGTTTTATGAGTTTGAGTCATTCATTAGATGTTTAAACTATACTTTTCTTGTGCTAATTTCTAAGGTAAAGGGAGCGATAAATGTCAAGGGTTTCAGACCAATTAGTTTAGAAGGGAAGTGTGTATAAACTCATCACCATAGTGTTGACAAGGAGAATGGCTGCCATGATGGGAAGGGTGGTGAATGAGTGTCAATATGCTTTTGTGGAGAGTAGATGGATTTTGGATATTGCTCTTGTTGCAAATGAAATTATGGATGAATTGCTTCACAAGAATATAGAGGGTTTTTTATGCAAGCTGGATGTGGATTCTTTATGATCATGTGAATTCAGGCTTTCTCGATTACATATTGAAGTGACTGTGTATTTGGGACAAATGAAAAAATGGATCAGCTAATGCTTTTCTACAACTTCTTTTGTTGTTACCATTAATGAAAGTCCATCTTCTTTCTTCAGATTCTCCAGAGGTCTCAAGCAAGGTGATCCCTTGTCTTTTTTCCTATTTATCATTGTAATGAAAACACTTAACATAATGTTTTTGAGAACTAGAGAGTTTGAGATGGTAAAAGGATTAGAAGTGGAAAATGGTGAGCATGGGGGGGAGATAACTCATTATTTTTTGCTAATGATCCTTTATTATTCTATAAATTGAATGACAGGACTCTACTTAACTTCAAATGCATTTGCTAAGTTTTCAAACGGTTTATGCCCTCAATATTAATTTGTCAAGTTGAATTGGTGAAATGGATGATCGGAGGGATACTAACAGGTTGGTTAGGATTATGGGATGTAGGATTGGGGACTTATCAAACAAATATTTGGAGCTCTTGTTAGGTGCTAAATATAAAGATGTTGTGACTTGAGACCCTGTAGTGGTGAGGTTTGAACAACGGTTGGTTGGATGGAAGAGGATCTTCTTATCTGAAGGTGAAAGACTCATGCTTGTCAATAGCACTATGACTAATTCTCATTATATTATATGTCCTTCTTGACAGTCCCTGCGGGTGCAGCCAAGAGATTGAATCAATTTAGTGTAGATTTTTATGAGGAGACAGATGAAAAAGAAAGTATCATCTTGTGGCTTGGAATGAGGTCAAAAAACATATCTATCAAGGTGGATTAGGTTTGATATCTTTGCTGGAGGTTAATATGACTCTTCAAGGGAAATGGTTTTTAAGATTCATGAATGAAAATGACAGTCTCTAGTGGAGGATGATCGAGGCAAAATTTGGGACTGTGGACAGAGGTGGTACACTAGGCTCTTGCTAGACCTTAGGGGAATGGGATGTGGAAAAAATTCGTATGGGTAGGAGTAATTTCCATAACTGTATTAGTTGGAGGATTGACATTGGGAAAAAGATCAGCTTATGGCATGACACTTGGTTGGAGAGTGGCACACTCAGAGGATAGTTCCCTTGGATATATGCTATTGGTATGTATTAGAGAGTCTCGATTCAGAAGTCTTACTGTGGTACTGCAGAGAAGGGAAAGTGGATTTTGGAGGTCACAAAAAATCGTAATGATTGGGAAGTTAGGGAATATGAGACTACTTTTAGCCATTTAAAGATTGGGAAGTTAGGAAGTACGAAACTCTACTTTTTTTTATTTTTTTGAAAAAACCCCACTATTGAGGTTCAATGCTAGAAGGACTTTCTATCTCAGATCTTTCTACAATCACTTGTCTAAAAGAGAAGTTACAGGTACTGACTTCTCATTTCGAAAAATCTGGAAGGTATTACTTCATGTAGAGTTGCTTTTTCTATTTAGGAGGCTAGTAGAGGTTGTAATTTAACTTTAGAGAAACGACATTACTTGAACAGGATTTGTTCTATAGGTTTGTACCTCTGTTTCCTTGAGTTCTAAGAAGGCAGGATCTCAAGTCTGGTGGATGAATTGTGACCGTATGATCAAGGTGTGATTAATAGTAGAGGCGATTCTGAACCGTTGATGTTGTAGATGATCGTTCCCAATTGGGTTTAATCTTGACTGGAGTGGTCACTCAGTTATCTGACAGACCAATAAAAAATTTAACTCTAGAGATGATGATTAGGAGGGATAAAAATTTTGGTGAATGGTTGTTTCTTATGCAAAAAGGAGGCGGGGTTGTCTAACCATATTTATGTACTAGTTGTAGACCATTACTTTACGCCTCTTGGGTATTAACTGGTGATGGCTGGTTTGGTGCAAGAGGAAATTTGGGCATAGAAAGGAATTAGTGGTATAAAGAAGCATATTAGTTTTATCTTCCTTGCTACTTTCTGGGCAGTTTTGTCCTGTCACCTTTGAGTTGTGAACATTGGTGTATAGGGCCTTGGGTACCAAGTTGGTGATGGAGGGGACAGTCAGAGATGAATTATGGGCTTGGGGTTTTTTGAGAGACAGATGTTCTTCTACCGATGTTATCCTGCTCACCATTTGGTGGGTTATTTGAAAGAAGAGAAATATAAGGGTTTTTGATGAGATTGATATGGTTAATAGTTTTGGTATATTAAAGAATAGATGGTTGAAGACTATAATTTTTATTATTGGGTCATCCATCAGCTGTCATGGAGACATTTTTTGCTTTGTTTGTCTCATGACAATTGAATTGTAAATTTTTTGTAAATGGGTTGTACCCCCTTCTGATGTTTATAGTAATACATTTTACACTTTTTATTTAAAAAAAAAAAAGAGAGATTTTGAGGACTGGAATGTGATTTTAATAAGGTAAAGGTAGATGATTTCAAACCCTAGGTTTTTGGTTATGGATTATTCTCTGTACTCGAAGACTTTGGGAATATTAATATTTTGTTTGATATGTAAATAATATTGAAAATGAGTTTGTACCCTCTTGGTGCTTGTGAACGAATCATATAATACTATTTTTATTTCAAAAAAGAAAAAGGTTCTAGAGCCTAGCAGAGGCTTGTTATCAAAGTAGAGAAGCGGGAGGGAGTAAAAACTCAGAATATTGAATTTATCCTTATCAATATCATAGTTGCATTTTGGTTCTTAGGCCTTCTTTCTGATCCTTAAGATTGACAGTTCAAAGGTATTGACATTTTGATTGATATGTAAATAACATTAAACATAGGTTTGTACTCTCTTGGTGCTTGTGAATGGATCATACAATACTATTTTATTTCAAAGAAGAAAATGGTACTAGAGCTAAGCATAGGCTTGTTATCAAAGTTGAGAAGCGGGCGGGAGAAAAAACTCAGAATATTGCACTTATCCTTATCAATATCATGACTATAGTTTTGGTTCTTAGGCCTTTCTTCTGATCCTTGAGATTGACAGTGAAAAGCTTACAGTGTGGATTATAACCAGGGAGAAGATTGAATTATTTCCATGTTCAGCATTTTGACTGGCAATACAGTCTGAATCTATAGTTAGGCATTGCCATATTTTGCCTAAAAGAACTTAATAGTTTAGATACACCATATTGAATTTTTTTTTAAACATTGTTTACTTTTCTTAGATCTTGGCTGCTCTAGATATTGTCCGTCAAGGTGCTGATGTGATGCCAAGGAGCCAGCTCAATCAAGTTCTGGATGCTGAACTAGGTCCTGATTGGTCATCAAAGTTGACTAGCTTTGACTATGAACCAATGGCTGCTGCTAGTATCGGCCAGGTGATTCATTTATCTCATGCCACATATTGTGCAGAATAGGTTTTATTTGACCAATGTACCTCTTATCCTTTTTTTTTTGCAGCTTTAACCTTTTTTTCTTGGGCTCATTGTTATTTCAAATGTGTAGGTTCACCCAGCTGTCACGAAAGATGGTATGAAGGTTGCAATGAAAATTCAGTACCCCGGTGTTGCAGATAGCATTGAAAGTGACATTGAGAATGTCAAACTTCTATTAGATTATACAAATCTAATTCCAAAAGGACTTTATCTGGACAAAGCTATGAAGGTAAGTATCTTCATATACGTGTGTGCATGTGTATATGTAAATGAATATATGCTTGATTATTCGAAGCTGTTTGATAGCCCCTTACTATAGAAATCCTTTTCTATTATCTAAAGTCATGCTAGCCTTTGATACTTACATGATATTTTCTTTGGATCTTAGATGAGCATTTTGGGCAGATGCTCATACCAGTTGGTTAGAGCTTGCACATTGATAACAGTCTGCCATGCATCTGTTTTGTGCCACATTCTACTTTAAGTTATTTCTGTAATGGGGAGTAAGAACTATAGCATTCATGATATTAGCGGCCCTCCATTAGATCTAATTTCTGCATTTATTAGGGGGTTACCGTTTCATTTTGGACCTCTTTACTGAGAGCTTAATGATATAAGATCATTTAGTCACTGGATGTAACTAAGGGTTTCAACATGTGTGACATTAGTATCCCTATTGAATATGCCGTTTTGCATGTTAAAGGAGGTATTGCAAGTTAATCCATGACTCATGCATATATATATATATATATAAATATATTTTTCACATCTCCTTCTCATGCAGTTCAGTTAATACTCTGGAGTTCCACCCTCTATCTATGATACCGAACTTCACCACTATAATATACTGTTTTCTTTCATGAATCTCCATTTTGCCACTTATCTTGTAAGGTCATATTCATCCTCACTGAAAATTTCAACCCCAAACCTTCTTGGGACATTGGCTTTTGATCTCATACCTCGCCAAGTGATATTTTTTTCTATCCTTAGAGCTGCTCCAAAGGAATTTACACAAAATTGATTCTAGTATCTTAGCAGCACTCACCCAGATTATCAAAAGGGACATATAGTAAGTGGAGATGTGGTTAACATATTTTTAATGAGTGTGAGTCTCCCTGTTTGGACAGAAGGTTTCTCTTCCATCCCGCCATCGACCTTTTAAACCTCGCCATCACAGGGTCTCACATCCTCGCATCTTTATGTTTAGCTCCCAAACATAACCTCTAATAATCGGCAATTCCACAGTTTTACACCCCATGACTCTTGATAACGTAAAGAGCATCCCTCTGATCACCCATTTTCACCAACTCAGACTTGGTTAAGTTGATAATGAGATCAGAAACTGCTTGAAAACTTAGTAAAATGGATATGAGGTTAAGTATTGCCTCTCATCCGGTTCACAAAACACAAAAGTGTCATCAGTAAAAAAGTAAGTGGATTACCTCCTCCATATCCTTACTTTTATCTACCTTTAAACCTTTAAATAACTCCAACTCTCTGCCTCTTAACAACATTTTGTTCAAGGTTTCCATGTCTCCTCGAAGACATCCAATGAAATTTGGAATAGCTTATACAGCTTATTAATCTCTTTTTCTTATCTTCTCAATTTTTTCTTTTTTTTTCATCCTGCCCAGATGATAGCTTGTTCTCCTTGATATTGTAATCTCTTTTCCTAATTCTATGCTTCTTATTTTATAAATATATATATATATATATCCTCTATGGCTTCTGGATGCCAACAGTAGAACATAGATCTCTATACATTGAAGCTTTACTGAACATCTAAAAGAGAAGAAATTATTACATTATGCTTCTGAAATTGTATTCTCATGTTCTTCCTGGATTCTTTGCAGGTGGCAAAAGAAGAATTAGCTCGTGAATGTGACTATGAGTTGGAGGCTGCCAATCAGAAACGGTTTCGTGATCTACTTTCAAATACAAAAGGGTTTTATGTCCCAATTGTTGTGGATGAACTTTCAAGCAAAAGAGTTTTAACTACAGAACATGTTTCCGGTATATGTATATATAATCTGATTGTATAATTACTATATTTAGTCATCACCCTAACAAAGTATGGGGTTAGTTCCTGTAAATTAGAAGAAAAAATGAATATGTGGTTTCCTGTATATATTAATTTAATAGTTCGACATGCATAGTAGTGATTTATTATTCTGAATATGGGGCTCTCCCTTCTTAGACAGGTTATGCACTTTTCTTTGGAAAAAATAAGTTTGTGAATCTTTGATCCTGGATATGCCTAGTTAAACTGCATTTTCCGAGATATTGAAATCATTTTTTTTCCTTTTCAAGCCTAAAAGAAGGTTCTTGTTTGTTTAGCATGAAATGGTGTTTCTACAATCTGCCTATAAAAAAAGTTCAGAACTTCATTCAAGTTGTACTTGTG